AATGAAGAAAAACTTTAATATAAATTTAACATAACAGCAAATGTACAACGTCAGACAAAACCTTGTCAAAACGTTGTACATTTGCTGTTATGTTAAATTTATATTAAAGTTTTCTTCATTACCCATTCAAGCCTTCTCCAACCATTATTAGTATCAAAGTGGGTTCCTCGTCATGGAAATATCTGAACTTTGAATTACTCTTAAAAAAGCAAGCAGGACACTTAAGTGCAGTATATTTATGGAGACAATAAAACAAGCGTATACTTTAGATTTTATTTTCTACAAAGTATCTAAAAGATGATTTAGGAAAGGAAAGATAACTTTGTACAAAACATTGTTGTCAAAGCAGATGTAGGTCCTATAATATCTGTAGCTTGTTGTAGTAATATAACATTACAACAAAACAAAGGACCACTTGTACCTTCAAGACCGTCCCTGCATACCCTCTCAGAAAATGTAAAAATTGACGATCCTTCCAATTTTTCAAACAATCACTTATTTCTCTCTGTTAAACTTTTCTAAAATGCCATGAGTTAATCATTTTCTTATAAAAACTAAATTGATTTAATTGGAGCTTAGCAAGTATTTTTCAAACCTTCAACTAGAGACTTCACATTCTACTGTCCTCCAGTGAAAATTGAGGTGCTGTAGTTCACTAAAAGTAATATCTTATAGCTCCATCTTTTTATTGACCTTTTTATGGACTTAATGATGTAGAATCCACAAAAACATGTATTTTTTCAAACTCTTGTGTAACCCATAATTACTTTAATAAGCCTTTGGTTTATTTTTTAAAAGTTATAGATTGTACTTGGCACTTTACACTGTAGTCTATTACAGTGTGGCAATGACAAGTTTATGGTTCATATAAAATTATAAAATAAAAATTACTTTACAAAGTTTAAAGTGCTTCACATATTACAGCATTTCATTTAAAAATTATGAGTAACAGGAATAAGGCACTTTTGTTAGGTTACAATGAAAAGATATCTACTGGAATGTGCAAAGTGAATTATAATCCAATACACATGAAAATAAAAAGAAATGACAGGGATAATTATACATACAGAATACAATACATAGATGGTTATACAACCATTGTGTGTAAAATGACTTGTATCTTGAATTGCTCAAATCTTTAAATTTTTAATGAAATTTCTTTACATTTACTAATATATTCTTGAAAATTCAATTTTTGCATGTATTTATCAGTGGTTCAGTATAATGCACATACATAATATAGGTAATGAAATGACTTCCAACCTGGCTATTGTAAGGTCAAGCTTATGATATTCTAAAGCTTTTCCATATTCTCCTAGATAGAAGTGGGCATTGCCCAGTTGGCTATAGATGGCACTGAGTGTTTTTGGATCATCTGCTCCAACCTGAATGGCAGCATTAAAATATGCTATACCACCATTGAAATTCCCAGACTTGCAAAGTCGCTCTCCCTCCAAGGCTAGCTCTAAACATGTGGTAAAATCCATCGCCCACTGTACAAAAATAAAAAAATCCTTTAGTAGCAAATAATTAAATCCTTTGGTAGCAAATAATTAAATTTTCTTGTTTATTCATTAGCTACAACTTCAGTTAATTTATTATTTGTTCAGGAATAGCCTATTGTTTCAACTATTTTAATTAATGGAAAGTATGATATGCAACTACAAAAATTATTAAACAAAACAGAAGCTTCAGTGCACAAGAAAGCACTAAACAAAAAAACATTCTACTGTTTCAGTTCAACATTAACAAATCTGACGCTTTCATCCATTGAATCATTTACTAACAAAGCTTTGAATGAACTCTACTTAACAGCACAGATCACCACCAACACCAGTGAATCACCTGAACAACCACTGTGGAAACAGTTTTGTTTAACATGGAGACTTCCTAAGATTGTTATACTTAAAGTCACATTTTCAACTTTATCTTTCCAAAGATCAAACAGGTTGATAACAGATAGCTTGTTCAATCCCTTATTGTTTTGAGCACATAAATCAAATCACCCATCATTATTTTAAACTGTACTTTCTGATTGTGATAAAAACAAGGTTGATGAGGTTTTAACATTCTAGCTCATTTCTTTTAATGAAATGATTTTAGTAATTTTCTTTTGAACTCTTCAGCAAGTCTGTATGCCTTCTCTAGTGAGCAGTATATACCAAAGAAACTGAAAGTAGTAATGCTTGGAGATGGCTTGAATGGGTAATGAAGATGACAAAACCTTGTCGAAACGTTGTAC